GGCTGTGGTGGATCTGCTGAGGCTCTGCATGCATGGGCTCAGCCCTTAATTCTGCCAGACTGCATTGCACCCTGGACTTACCGGGATTTTCCTAAGGGGAAAAGGTAGGTATACCACTTGCTGGCCACGAATCTCCCCATGCCACTGAATGCTCTCTTCTCATTTCAGTCCTTGCTCGCTCTGCCCCTGCAGCCTGGGAAAGGATGGTGGCTAATTTGAGCTCTGAGGGAACAGCTCACCTCAAGGTCAGACCTAGGTGGAGGCACAGGGATCCAACTGCTCCTTACGGCTAGTGCTGTAGCAGGTCTCTAGGCCTGTCTTGATAGTGGTGGGGTGTGAAAGCAGCGATACAGCAGTGTTTAGGGGCAGGAACTTATTTTCCTCAAGTTATTTCCATCCTACAGGCCTCTGTAAGGCCAACGGCTTTCCGATTTCCCTGCTTGATGCCCAGTACTGCTTTTCTAATCCAACTTGCCTTTTCTCTCATATTTTCCTTCTGGCAGCAGCTGAAGGCACCTCCAATGTTTCAACAAGCTCCGTGCATGCAGCTGAGTATGAAGCACCATGTCTTAGTAAGTCTTCATAAATCATTATGACCATGATTAAGCCAGTGATGAGACTACACAGGTAACTGAGAGGCTGTCCTAGAGAGGGATTTATCTGTTGTCAAGCCTTCTGTTGCAGGTGAAACACAAGGATGCATTTCTAAGACTCCTCCATTGGTCATGTCCAGTGTATCTTGGGTACATTCAAATGGACTCATAACTTTGAACAGACTAATTCATAACCAATTTGAGGCATTCACTTTTCACAGCTGACAAGCTTTGTGTGCATCAACATGTGATGTGTGTAGCTGCAAAGTGGTTTTGGCTGGCTCAGCTCTCCTGGGTGCTGGGATTTCACACTCAGCTTCTATTCCAGTCCAAGCAGTCGAGATACCATGGTCTTCCAGGCTCTCTTTGGTATTTCCACGTTACCACCCAGGATGGTACCAGACACAGAGCTGGGTATCTTCACCGTGCCCTTGTGATGGAAAAAGTGTGGCAGATGCCTTTAAATAACAGCATAAATGAAACAACTAATGTCATATTCCTTAACTGACTTTAGGAAACTGGACTGATTTAAACAAACAAAAAAAAAACCAAGATGCAAAAGGTGCAAGGAAAAAATACATGGAATTGTTAAAAATTATTTCATTTTTAAACACATAAAACAGGGATTACCCCAGTGGTAGTGTGTTTTGCAGTTGTTACACGCAAGTCACAGCTAACAGCCCAGCAGAGACCAGCCACTGCTTCTATTGCTGACAGAGGTATTTGGTACCTGAACTACTGGAGAGTGCTGAAGGTGTCTCTGCTAAAGATCCTCTTAGTCTCTTACATGAAGATTTCTCTATCCTGGGGTTATTTTTAATTTTAACTAGCTACTTCTATCATACTCCAGTCCTAAAATTGACCGAGGAGATGCTATGCAGGTGTTTTAAAAGGTTTCCATGATGGTGGGGACAGTGGCAAGAGGAGCAGCTCAGGGGTTTGGGCAGACAGGGATGATCAGGTTGAATATGGCCATCCCCCAAGCTAAGAGCCAAACTTAGGGCAAGGATGCCAAGGCAGTGACAGGCCACAGGGCAGAAAGTGAAGTCACTATCTCATCTGTCTTCTAGCACAGGAAACCTTTTATGTACTCAGCATCCCATCAGCTAACTTCATTTCTCTGTCACCAGACGTGAACTTCTGCACAAAAGCAGCCCTGTGCTGCCCGACGGGCATGGATGATTACGGGTGGATTGCAGCGGCTGTCGGCTGGAGCCTCTGGTTCCTGACTCTCATCCTGCTCTGCGCGGACAAGCTCATGAGACTGCGGCCTGATGAGCCCAAATATTTGGTGGCCTGAAGCAGGGCAAGCCAGCAAACAGCAGCATCTGGGAGAAGTGAGGTGCAGACAGACTGACAAACCATTTCAATCAGCTCATAAGAAACAAATAGAAAAAGAAGATACCGTCAGCCAAAAAAGGCCAGATCTAAGCAAGGCAATGAGACGCTGAAGGACCAGATAGCAGTCCATAGCACGCTGCCTTACAACGACCCAGTCTTGGAACAGAAAAAGGGCAAATAAAGGTATTTTCCGGAGTATCAATGTTACCAGATCCACTACTGAGCTATAGGCCAGGTTACATCAGTTATCAGATGTAACTCATTGATTATACCAAATCCTCCTCACTTACTAATTTGCGCTATTTTAAAGTCTATTAACTGATACCAGTGAAAACTCTGTTATGGAAACTTAAGGGTTGTCTGGGGTGATTTGAAATTAAAGCTTGTTTTTCCAGTGCAGTTCATATGTGAACTGTTTTGTTGAATTGAATGTTGGTTGTATTTATTCGGCTTGCACCTGCCCATGTAACTAAGCCAAGCTGAACCATGGCAAGCAGATTTAAACCAACATATCTGATTCATGCACAAATCTGCTCCTATTTATGCAAGATGATCATAAGCACTCTTATTGATGGAAAGATTCTCACTGACTGTTTTATACTGATAAATCTTACATTTGCAAGGAATTACCCAACCCAAGCTGTTAGAAACATGATTCTGAGAAGAAATATTGATGGAGAAGGGTTGGCCTCACTGCAGTCAAACTGTCTGGTTTAGGGCAGTTGCACCAGTTTGATTTCTATCCATTATTAAAACAATAAATCAGTGTTAAACTCATCTAGACATAGACAGGATTAGCAAATCTGCTAGAGACTAACTGAAATGAAACATAAAAAGTCACTCTTAAACTAAAGAAAGCTTTATTGGAGATTTGTATCTATTAAATAACATAAAAGCCTCCCTTCAGCTTATCAATGCATAACTTTTCCAGTTAGAAAATATACAAATCAGCTTAAGACTCTTCAAATTGATTCTGGGACGATGGGACACTTCACAGAATGGTAGGGTTTGGAAGGGACCTCGAAAGTTCATCCAGTCCAACCCCCCTGCCAGGGCAGGATCACCTAAACTAGGTCACACAAGACCGCATCCAGGCAGGTTTTGAATGTCTCCAGAGAAGGAGACTCCACACCACCTCTGGGCAGCCTGTTCCAGTGCTCTGACACCCTCACAGTGAAAAAGTTTTTCCTCATGTTCAGGTTGAACTTCCTATGCTCCCCCTTGCACCCATTGCACCTTGTCCTGTCATTGGCTGTCACTGAGAAGAGCCTGGCTCCTTCCTCCTGACACTCGCCCTTTACAAATTTATAAACATGAATGAGGTCTCCCCTCAGTCTCCTCTTCTCCAAGCTAAAGAGACCCAGCTCCCTCAGCCGCTCCTCATAAGGGAGATGCTCCACTCCCTCAATCATCCTTGTGGCTCTGCGCTGGACTCTCTCCAGCAGTTCCCTGTCCTTCTTGAACTGAGGGGCCCAGAACTGAACACAATATTCCAAATGCGGTCTCACCAGGGCAGAGTAGACGGGAAGGAGAAGCTCTCTTGACCTGCTAACTAACTTTGATCAGGACAACGCTGTGCCATCTCAGTGACGGGCGGCAGCCCCTTATCCACCATCAAGAGGAAAGGGTACAAGTTAGATACTGAGGAAAAGACATCCTTCCCTATCATTAGTATCACAACACAAAAAATCCTCTGGAGTGAAATGCTGAGCAGAGATGCTAGCATCAGGAAATAAAGTTTTGAAAGGGAAGGGCTTAATTCTTCAGTGGCTTTTTTACTGTGTGTGTTTTGTTTGGTTGGTTTGGGTTTTTTTCTTTTTACATGTGCCATACTACTAGTAGCAAAAAAAAAATAAATCACAAAATATTGCTCACTTAAGAAAAAATCTTAACAATGCACAACAATTAGAAGTAATTTTCACAAGACAAATCTCTGTGTTGAACCAGCTAACTATTACTTACCACAAAAACAAACCAAACAAATAAACTGGTGTATGTACAAACTTACAGAAACAAAGGGCTCTACATCTTACTGTTGGCGTTGACTGAAAGAGTTGGCAGCTAATGACCACTGCAATTGCTAACAGACCACACATCTTATAGCTACATACCTAACTTTTTTTCTGATTTATTATTTTTAATAGTGGAGAATATGCATTGGCCTGAAAGCAATGTGACAGATCCTGTGAAATAATCTCCATGCAGTGCCTTAGTGTCTACATTCTGCAGCGCTCTTCCCACAGCTCTCCAGTCTTATGGAGGTTGTTCTTCTGGTTGAGAACACAGAGGTGCCTGATGGCTTTGGCACTGGTTTTCCTCTTTGAGGGGGTGTTTCACAGCTTTCGCATCTCCTTGGCTAAGGCTACGAGTGCATGAACACAGCCAGTCACAGAAGTAAATCTTTTCCAGTCTGGAGAGCTGGAAGCATGTGATGCAAGCTCAGGATGTCCTATGGCCCAGCACTACACCTGCAAACTAACTTCATAACAACCAGGCAATTCTGGGGGGCTTCCTAAAGCTAGCCTTTAAAAGCACAGCTTGTTTGCTTTTCACATGCTCCAAAATAGCCTGCTTGTGTGCAGCTATCTTCAAGGAATGTTGTACACTTAAACCTCAAGGTTTGCTTCTTACAGCTTCTGTTGAGGATTTCCAGCTCAGCTGAACTGAGGAGAAATGAGAAAAAAACAACCCATAATTGTTCATATAACATAATGCCTCCAGAATTTTGTATACCTATTTGAACATTAGGTGTGTGTGTATATATATATATATATATA